AAAAAAAAAAAAAAAAAAAAAGGGAAAGAAAGAAAGAAAATCTCCGCTCGGTCCTCGGCTACCGTTCTGCGATCACTTTAAAGGTGTAAACTTCAAACTCGTAAAGGAATCAGAGCGGCTTCTGGGGGGGGCGGTGCGCCGAGTTAAAACGGTTAGGGTTTGGGCATGTGACGAAGGACAACGCGAAATCGCAGACAATAGAAGGTTAAGTAAATAATATTTTTCTGCAACCCTGTGTCAGTTATGTATAAAAATCTGAGGTCAGCTGAAAAGTATTTTCAGAGCCCATGGAGTTGAAATTTTGTAACAGCTGTTAAATATGACAAAACTTTGCTCCCCACCCCCCCCAACCAGAGCTATTCCAAACTCTGTATGAAAGAAAATGGAATAAACAGATGTCTGGCTTCCAGACAGGAAAGTAGGACAGACTTGGAATGATAAGTCTCCGAACTCCATAGACCAATGCCAGGTTTGCTGGGGAGGGGGCCCTGCTGCCACAGAGATGCCAGCGCGTGGGACGCCTGAGACCGTGCCATCTGGAACAGCCCCACCGAGCACGCTCCCTCCGGGCGCTGCGCGGGCCCCCGGGTGCGACCCGGCCCGTTCGGATGCCCCAGAACCCAGCCCCTGCCGCCCCACAGTCTGCCTGCCCAGTCGCAACAGTTGGACCCGGAGCTCCGGTCCACTTGGCCGGGCAGGGACGGAGGTAAGAGCACACGGCTCCCCGGGCATGTCCACAGGGCCTCGGGCGGGCGACACCCCAGGATGGGATGGCACGGGAGGACGACAGCCAAAGTGTGGTTTTGGTTTAGCAGCTACACCGCCATCCTGTAATCATTCACAGCCCTTGGAATGTACGGGTGAGACAGGAGAGATTCATCTGTTCGGAGTTGGGCTGTGTGGACAATGGGTGTTCCTAATGAAGACCATCTGCTTTTGTGTTTTCCCAGAAAACATTATTCCACGAGGAAAATGATACCCCGTCCTTTTCAGCAACACCATAAAACATTACGTGTGTGCGCACACACGTATACACACGCGTGCATGTATGTGGGGACGTGAGCATGGTGTGTGCGCGCACGCACACGCACACGCACACGGGCCCCCCTGCTTCTGGCTCTGCAGGTCACGACAGTCCCCATCCATGCTTCTACCGTTGCAGCTCTTTACTGATCATGCTTTTACTTTACAATGTTGCGTTTCTCCTTTACCCCATAAGTTGTTACATTCTTTTAAATACACTGCAGTATAATTATATTTGTGGAGCTATAAAAGATGGTTTCTCCAGCATTGTTTTTACGAGGAAGAAAACAGTTAAGGCAAGTGAAACCTTCACAATAAAAGGGTTTCACAATTCGAAATATCCTCACTTTTCCCCTCTTTTAAATGCTAAGGGTCTTCCATGCTGCTCATGAGTATTTAATGCTTCTGAAAGATAACTGAGCTAAATTGTGTAATTAATTGATTTAAGGCGTCAGAGTCTATAGAATGTGATTTGCCTGCCAGAGCGGGGAGCTGACTTCTCTGTTCTCATAACACAGACAAGCAGGCTCGGCCTGCCGGAAGAGCCTCGGTGCGGGTTAGAGCAAATGTGGGCCCATTGATCTCAATTCAGGTCGGAATTATTGGTTTATATCCTCGGGACAAATATGCCTTATCTGGTCAGAAACTGTTAAACGTATCCAAAGGCCACAAGGAGCCGGCGAAGCACGTTGTATATAATTCTTTTTTAAGCCAACTAACCAAGTAATGACAGTGCTGATGGGGACCTGTGGACTGACTCACCAGTCCGGTGGGGTATTTTATTCTGCAGCGCTCAAGAGGAAACAGGGGCTAGAAGCTCAACATACGCAACTAGTTTGGGGAGGCAGCACCCCCCCACACACACACACACAGAAATGATTATCATTATGAAACCGAAACGCATCTCCGTTGCAAAAGGCTGAATCACACGAAAGACAGTCCCCTCCCACCGACGTCTTTCTTTCTCTGATTAACACAACTTGCCTTGGTGAACACGAAATTCTTCATCTCCCCCCTAGAACTACACCTTAAATTGAAGATTGTGCCAGTACTATAACCGTCGCACAAAGATTGACATCAAGCAACAAAATATGAACAGTATTTTGTCATTGTAAGTGACAGCTCTCTTCAGAATGGTGAAAACGCACACCCTATTTGTCATTACATAAAACCACCCTTACCTTAACATCCCTAATGTGGAAGGTGATTAAAATTCCTATAAAATTGTCATATCTTTGAATTTAGAAGCGGAGCAGATTTTCATCAATAATTAAGACCTCCAAAGCGTGTGTGCCAGGCGTAAATGGAGCCACAATCCTCCTTATTCAAATAAACTTGGTAAACCCATTAACCAAATGTTTTTAGGTTTTCCCCTCCTCTCGCGCTTCTAGAATATCAAATGATCACACACTTCTCCAGATTAGAGAGGTATCAGCAATCTTAGCACATATTTTAATTAACCAGAGATAAGAGAGCATTCACTCAGACAAGAATTAACAAGTATATTTCTGCACATGCAGGAAAGATATTTCCCATCGTGTGATAAAGCTCAGTACTAAAGGTTACTCAGTATCAATAGTCAATACGTGATTGACTGTTGCACAAACCCAAAGTGATTTTGAAGGGGAAACAGCCTCCAAAATGTTGGTGGAATCCACACCGCTACTTGATTCCTGTGCGGTGCTGAAAACCCTCACGATCTGAAAACAAGCCAGCTTTTCAAATGTACAAATATCACAAATTGAAGACAACTCAGAAGATGAAACACTTCACGACGCCGTAGTCGGAGCAAACACGCGCTGTCTTTTCAAGCATCTTACAGTCAGACAAGATTCCAAGAGCTGCTCAAACACCTCCAGCCAATCACGGGAACAAAATAAATTCAGGTACGAGACGGCAACCCGAGGCTGGAAGATTTCCATAACCGCCACACTAAAGACAAATATAATGCTATTGATTTCTGTAGCTGGAGTTCTATAAAGTGTTGGACTTGTTCTCACCGCCTGAGTGACGGCCACAACTGGTCAACCCTATTTGATTACTAATAAGAGAGCCGTCCCTTCTGTCAGATACCGAGCATTCCCCACTAAGCAAACAGCTATTCCAGCTAGTTCAACATTAGCATTGCTCTCCACTGGTGGCGCAGATTTCTTTGGGCTTAACTCATGGAGTTTTCCGGGTTTAATTTTTCAGACACTGGACAGCCAAAGTTCACGATCAAAAAGATAACTTTGTCGTGAAAGCCGCTGAAATCCAACCCCTCTATAAAACAGTCTCAACCTCCGCTGCACAAAACTGGTGTCATGTGTACCCGTCTAACATTTATTCGATTTGGGTACCAATTGCAAAATGTGCAGTCCATCACACCCTGGGCCTTGTGCTGTTGTTACCCATTGTTGGGAAGAAAGAAATCCTCCCTCCCCTAGGTCACAGAAACCCAGCGATGAGGGGGAGTGTTCCAGAGGAGGGTGCTGGTGTTTTTGTTGTTTCAACTAAAGCAACACCAAACGTACATTAACACGATTAGGGCTGATGATTAGTAGCTTTGAAGGACGCAATGTGGCCCAAGGAACATGATAAATAACAAGCTGAAGGGCAGCAAATGTAAAGAATGCATACAGCTCATCTAGTTATGGAAATTAATGTTGGAAAATGTACCCAGCATGTGTAATTAGTTTCAATTATAACAACTTTGGTTTGTTAGTTACATATTTGCTACTTGACATAAAACGACAGCCACAATTGGAAAAAAATTAGGAGACATTTTGCAACTAATTGAGAGCAGATTAAATTCATTCTAACACTGGGCAACAATTACAACAGGAACACCACCCAAGTCTCAACTTCGGCTATCATCCGAGATAAAAAATAATGCAAAAATGAACTACTTGTTAACAAATTAGCAAAAAGCATTTTATGACATATCTCTGGGTTGAAAGCCAGAAACTCTCTAGGCATAAAGTGCTCCTCACAGTGAGAGCGGTGGCAGATGAAACTGCTTCCCTTGACAACTCGAAAGCAATTACCGAATCCCCACAGAGCGAGCCTCCAGGTTTCCAAGTCAACCCACCTGTGCGCGATAACACAGGCGGACAACAAATGCTGCAACGCGCAGGAGCCCAGCCCCAGCCTGAGACAGGCAGCAACTGGAAACCCAGCAAGGCAAAGGCTTTGGCTGGTGCTGCGGTTTTGCATTAAAAAAATAAAGAAGTCCTCCTTACCTGTCAATGATTACAGGGTCTGAGGGTGTCTCGTTTCTATTGCCACAACTTTTCTTGTCACAGCACCGGCTGTGGAGTAATTGTAAACAGTGGTTTTAATATGCAGTTCATCTTTCTGTGCCGGACTTGTAATTTTTTTTTTTTTTTTTAAGTCTGACAGTAAAGCAGCTGGAGTCAACAAAATAAGTTATCCTACCAAGGCAGTTTGGCAAATTTAAACCCAGTGAGTTCACGTGCTCTGCGGCTAAACTTAGGGTGTAACTTTCTGCCGGAAGGAGCAGGGTTGAACGTATCTGTTCCTAGGAGGAGGGTAGCAGAGCTACCATCTAAACTGTGATGCCAGAATATGGAAAACATGTTGTCGGTGTTTGTCTTTGCAGTGAACTGAGGAGAAGGGGAGGCAGGAGGCCTGGGAATAACTTTTCACAGCTTCAGCTTTTGTTTACCTCTAATTGTCAAGCTGTTATTTCTGGAAAAGATGCAAGATGCCACCTTCAACCAATATTTCTTTTGGGCATTTATTAATTATAAGCACAAAAGCACGCATCAATCTATCAGAAACTTCTATTGTTCCTTCTTTAAGCCCACCTTAACTCTGTTATTGAAACTTTAATTAAAGCAGAAATGAAACAAAAATGTTATGCTTCTTGCATTTTAAAAAAGCATACTTGTATAATGGTTACATGTCTAAATTAGCTAAATTAACACCATATGGTAGGCAAAGTATATAAAGCCTTTTAAAGCTGACAGCTAAAGTGATTAAAGAAAGTCTACAGTCTTCCACTTAGAGCTTAAATCACATCTGTGCGCTTTCTATGTTAATTGCAGTACATGCAGAAGTGGATAATAAAGAAATTCCACTTTATTGGTTGTAATTTATATTTATTACCTGATATGAGAAAAAGTCAGCTTTTGTATATTAGAGCTGTAACAATATGTCTGCTCAGAAATGGCATTTAGGCAGCCGGCGTCGTAGCCAGGCAGAGCCTGCCCCGCAGAGTCAGCCGCCCGCCACTGTCGCCTGCAAAGCAGGTCCTCCTAACTCCTCGCCGCGATATTTCACATGCCGCACATGCAAAGTCAATGATGCATTTTTATTTGCCATGTAGAGGTGAAACTCTTGTGGTCGTTAGAAAAAAAAACAGGTGGGAAATTGCTCTTCTGACAGAGAGCTCAAGGAAAGCGCGCACTCTCTAACAACCGTAGGAAGGATGCCTGGCTGCTCGGGAAGAGGTTAACTGACAGACTCGCAGTCCAATTCTCACACCCTCAGCTCCGTAATCGGTGCAGAAGAGTTTCCTTTTATCAGTAACAGCCGCTCTACAGCTCAGGGTGCCAGAGCTGCAGAAGGAAGTAGTCGAGTGGCGGGGGGTGATCCCTGAATCCTCGGTACCCGGACGGAGGACACAGGCATCATCCAGGGCCCGTTTTCATTTTTGACACGGCAGCCACACGGCAAACATATTAATCGGCTCTGCTGAGCAGCTGGCTGCGGGACCGTCCTCATGGGGGGAGTGAGCCCGGCGCCCGGGCTGTGGCTCGCGGGAGGCCGATTCCATTGCGATCGCACCCCACCGCGAACCCCAGCCTTTGTGGC